CCAAAACAAGGTGATATCCATTGTATGAATATTTTTGTCTCCCTACTCCCAAGTATTTATCTTGATATCTAATTCCCAGTGGGATGCTATTTTGAGACAAGGCTTTTGGGAGGTGACTATGTCACGAGGCCAAGACTGAATGAACAGATCAGTATCCCTTAAAAAGGAGACCCAGAGAACTGCTGTGCCTCTTCCCTGTGAGAATACAGCAGGAAGGTGCCACAGCCATGAAAAAAGAAATGGTCCCTTGCTGGATACTGAATCTGCCAGCACTTTGAATCTTGGACTTCTCAATCTTCAGGGCTGTAACAAATTTCTCTTATTTATGAGCTTCCCGATCTGTGACAGTCTGGACAGATGCAGACAGGGACTAAGTGAAATTCTGAATATAATATAATAGGAAACAATCCTTGTCTCTCAGACTGTTCCAAAACAATGAATAAGACAATAAAGAGAAACACTTGGAAATTGAATAAATGTTGAAATAGATTTTCAATAATGGAAGGAAAAGTACAGTTTCAAAAATCTTTCATCAATGGGACCAAAATGACATACATAGCTAATAGGACAGAAAAACTGAATTTGATGGATTTGATTGGTAGAGATTCTAAATTTAGCAGAGAAAATGCTACAGGAAGAAATTATGAAAGAAATATTACAAGAAATTTTCCAAGACTACATCACTAAAAGAAACAAGTACCTACAAAGCGGCATAAAACCATATAGTAATAAAATTTTGTATCATTTAAATAAAAAGTATGTGTCCTAAAAGCTTCCAGAGGGAGAGATACACACACTAAGAATCAAGAATAAGAAAATTGTGCACAAAAATATTCACTATATCTTATTAAGGAAAGAAAAAAGTTGGGAAAAAATGACACTATCCATAATATTCATTAAAGGTAGCACTAAATTTAGCAATTTAAGAAAAATTAGCGACTGCTACATAGAACGATGTAGATGAATATGAAAGACGTAATGTTGAGAATAAGCCAAATACAAAAGGTTATATACTGCATAACCCCTTTTAGATGATGTTCAAGAGCAGGCAAATATAATGCTAATAACAATCAGAAAATCAGCTAGATATACTAGCTAAGAATGATTTACTAAGACAGAACATCTGTGGCAGGCCTTTACGAGTTCCAGAAATATTTTATGTGACCTTAACCTCACTAAGTGCTGCTATTTATATATAACAATTCACTAAACTATATATTTAAGATTTGTACACTCCATATATAAAATGCATCACTTATCTTTTATAAAAGAATACAAATGGCATTGGGGTTATTTGCAACATCACTGAAAACTGGAAGATAATAGAAAAATGAGTGCAAAATTCTAGAGAGGTGATTTTTCAACTTAGAATTTTATAACCACTCAAATATTAATGTTTTAAAACCCTAGAAAATCTCAAATTTTACTTCCTCAGTACCCTTACTTAGAAAAATAGAGTAGGCCATGCTTCACAAAGGTGAAGCATACACTAAGAGAGAAAGAGATAGACAGAGACAGAGACATAGAGAAACAAAGACAGAGAGAAAACAGAGACATAGAAAACAATTAGACTTAGGATCCAAGAAACTAGAATAACACAGAAGAAACAAGGGTTACCTCCAAATGATACAAAAATAAATGATCAAAATATAATGAGACCTATGTCACAGAACTGTGTGATGCCACCTTGCTCGTTAGGACACAACACAGAAAAAGTAAAAATAAAAGAAATCGAAATGATAATTTTTCTCATGCCTTCACCATGGAGCACTGGAGAACAACTGGCAATAGTAAATAAGAAACTAGGCAGAGGGGTCATTTTTATGAGGCGTTCTGTTTCCCTTTCCTCTTCACAAGAAGAAAAAGTAAGACATAGCACATAACTTGGATCAGAATTGAAAAATACTAATAGATAGACTATTGATTTAATGAAAATAGTTATAACTACGTTGGTAAGGTAGGCAAGGAGACAATGAGGGGAAAAGGCTAAATCCTCATCTATCATCTTAGGCAAGGGTAGTAATTAAATTGATAAGCAAAAATGGCAGATTAAGCATGCTATTGTAAAATATAAAGTACAATATTGAAAGACATTAGCTTTGAAGTACTCACCTAAACAACTGTGGAAAAAATGGCTGATACTGGTTTTTTAGTGTTATTCGAGTCTTAAAATACGTGAAAGCAGTACTGAAATTCTAGAAAATCGAAGTAAAAAGGCTACAAGCAAATTTTGGAAGGAGTAAAGAGAGTTTTACTAGCTGTTTTTTATTGGTGTTATGTATAACTCATTTGTTACAAAACCTTCTTTTGTTACTTAAAGTGTTTGAAAATGCTGGCTGTTCATTCTCTGTCAAGGATGGTCCCCCTCAGGATTTTCTAACCTTAGAGCTGTGCAAAAGCAATATGCATCCAGTTGGAACTACACTCTGCTTTTTTAATTTTTGTCTTTTCCTGAGCTAGTGACACATAATACAGCACTCTCACAATTTTGGCTGGCAGCAGTAATTTTGGTTCCCAGTCATCCATGGATCAGAAGGGGAAACAGCTGATCCTCTACAGTGCACTGTGTTGCCAGGGGGAAATGTTTCATAGGTTACATGGATCAAATACATTTTCAGTTTGCAATGGTTTTATCAGAATGTAATCTGATAAAGTAAAAGAAGACAATAAGCTTTCTAATTTATCATGATGGCAAAACCTCCAGAGAAAAAGCACAGAAAATTTTAGTTATGAATATAGATGAAATTTTGAAATAAAATAGTAACAAATTAAACATACAATTATATAACATTGTTGTAAAACTAAAGCTTATTCCAACATGATTCAGTACCAGCACTTTGATGATATTTATTACATTTAAAAGTTGAAGAAAAAATAATATAATCACATGAAAAAAATTTATTAGATGACCTTTAGAAGCTCCTTATTAATAAAAAAATTAAAATCAAAAGATACTCTCAATACATAATGAGGAACATTTTCCAGAAACTAATGGTAAATATACTAAAAGAAATGTGTTGCTGTGAAATCAGAAGTCAGGAGAACCCATTACGAGCATCATTACTTAATGATTTGGGGGGGATTTGTTTGTTTGTTTGTTTGTTTGTTTTTGGCACCAAGAATCAAACTTAATTTTGTTTTAGAGGTGCTAGCTAATATAGTGGCGATGGTGAGGATGTCACATAAATGAAGAAGAACTAAGAGAAAGAAGTCATCATTATCTGTAGCTCAGGCTATATATTCAAAAAATCTAAAGGACTCAAGTATTTTTAATAAGGTAGTGCTGGGAGAAAATTCCTCCTGGGCCTTTCATATTTCTGCATGTCTTGCTTTTGTTCCAAACCATCCTAACAAGGATGAAGAGGCGGTAAGCAGCCACGGAAGGACCACATGGCATATCTCTCTGGAGCAGAAGTTTATTGAGCACCCAGTAAATTAAAGATAGTGTTTCACTGAAGACCAAAGATCAGGTAGGTTTGCTATCTGTTAGCTTTAAAACTCTGAGTTTCCTAAGTTTGGGTTTTCTCTGCTGTGATGTAAACAGACTATCTGCATATACCTGGGTTGCTCTTCTGGGAGCTGGGGAGAACATGAGCAGGAAGCGCATGCTACACTGTAAATAACAGTTCTTTGCCTCTGACTCAGAAGCGGTAAATGTTTAAAGATAAGGTTGGAGAGACACAGGCAGGTCTCAGGGGCTGGTGACACGTGGAAGAAAAGAGACACCAACAAAGGCTTCTTTTTTACTCTTTCAGAAGATGTTTCAGTGTATCTCAGCCATCAGCCTGCTCCTGCCTCCCTAACAGTGAGTGAAAACAAAGAAACTGAACTGCTATCACAGACTAAAGGATGAACAGGTAAACAAGAATCGCCATGCGATGCATAAAAATCCATTCCATTACATGAGACATCAGTGTGAAGAAAATAAAAGTGCATACTCTATAGCAATGATGAGGCAAACAGAACAAGGCTTTAAAATAAATATACCAACAATAATATAAATATACCAACAATATACCAAAAATTAAACTATTCTTTAAAATTTAAACAAATTAGAATTTGGTCATAAAAATATAAAAGCCGATTTGACTCAAAAGCTAAATGATCAATAAAGAGAAAAGTATTGAGCTTTAAGACTGAACTAATAAATGTTCTAGAATGACAAAAGGATTATAAAATTAAAATTATAAAAGAAGAGGTGAAAGATGTGGAGGACAGGAATAGAAGCCTTTATACATATCTCATAGGATTTCCTAAATGGAAGAATTAGAAAGAATGAGGGCCAGCTGCCGGACATGGTTCACATGCCTGTAATCCCAGCACTTGGGAGGCTGAGGCAGGTTCACTGCAAGTTCGAGACCAGCCTGGGCTACAAAGTGAGTCCCAGGCCAGCCTGAACTGCATAGTGAGATCCTGACGCAAAAAGACAAAAAAAAAAAAAAAAAGAAAGAAAGAAGAAAAACAACATTATTTTAAGACTATGAGAGAATCTTTTCCCTGTACTCAGATTACTTATCTAGAATTGGACAGAAGTAATTGAAACACACACATATATACACGTATATGCTAAACATATCATCACTGAATTTTACATTATTATGAAAGAATAAAAAAATACTAAATCCTTTCAAAAAGAATAATATACAAAAAAAAATCCAGATTGCCACTGTCTCCTCATTAGCAATGTGAGACAAAATTAGAACGATGTTGTCAAGATTCAGAAGAAGACAGGCAAGCAAACAGGCTCATGCTGGCTGAGTGGCACCCTGACACAAGGGTGAGACCACTCACCAACTTTAAGCCTGTTCTCCATTTTGCTTAATGTTGACATACAGCAGCAGAGGTGCAGACTAACCAACTGACCTAATCCTGGACAGAAACAACACCCAAATGCTGCCAAGGTTGCTGGGGAAAAGGAACCTGTCTTAGTTACTTTTTACTCATCACTGAGACAAAATACCTGATGCTCAAAGTTGGGGAAAGACAGGTTTATTTCTTACAGGTTTTGGAGGTTTCAGTCCATTCTCAGTTGATTCCAAAGCAGGGTGGCATGGTGGGCCGCAGTTCATGGCAGCTGCAAACAGCAAGGTAGAAACCTGCAAGAGAGAGACACACATCTTCTTCCTGCCATTGTATTGTATGCTGGCTCCACCCCTAGGTGGGTGTAACACTGACACCGTCAATCCAAGTGCTAGACAATGAACCAATCACAAATGCACAATGCAAATGCATGAGCCCTGGGGGCCACCGACAGAAACCATGACAAAGCCGGTCTACATTTGTCAGTGGGAATGTAAGCTAGTGCACCACTATGGAAACCAGTGTGGAGATTCCTCAAAAAACTAAACATAGAAATTCCATTTGACCCAGATATCTTCCTGAAAGAGTTAAAGACATCGTATTACAGCCATACATGCAGCTCATGTTTATAGCAGCACAATTCATAATAGTTAAATCATGGAGGCAGCCTATTTGTCCATCAACAGCATGGCTAAAAAGTGGATAAAGAAAGTGTGGTACTTACACACAGTGGAATTCTACTCTGCCATAAAGAAGAATAAATCTGAGTCCTTTGTAGGGGAATGGATGCACTGAAACCATAATGTTAAATACAATTAATCAGACTTGCAAGCTTACATATCACATGGTTTGCCTTATATATGAAATATAAAATATAAACAGCAAGACAAATAACAGAAAAAAGATGCATAATAGAAAACAGGGAAATAGACTTTTCTCAAAGGTGAAGAGGATCAAGAGATGGAGGAAGAGGAAAGTGAAAAGGGATTGAAAAAAAAGAACTGAATTGTGTTACATACATGTACCAATTCAACAGGAATATAGGAATATTCCTATTTATAAACATTATGTATTGCAAATATGTACTAACAAAAAAAACCTAGTACACATTTGGAAATTTATTTCAGGAAATAAGGAAAATATGAACCTATGAATGACATCCAGATGAGCTATTCACCATATATGAAAAAATTATATTTTTTAGAGGTTTAAGGGCTCATAAAATATATACTCAGAAATGTTATAAAATAACACTTTGCCAATATATCCTAGATAAAAATTATTTTAAGAGTCATATGTGGTACAACTAGAAAAAGAAATAAAATCCATGATTTTCAAATGAATAAAGAAAAAACAAAAAGCGATAGAACATGATAAGCACAAAAAAGCTAAGCTAGAACCATAGAAAGAAAAAAAAAGAGAAAATATAAAGTAAGAGAATTAGAACCAGTCAAATACATAAATATGATTATAAATACAAATGTGTTGTTTTTCTATTAAAAGATAAAAACTGTAACTTTTAATTCTACCTATATGTTATCATCAAACACAATTCAAAATAGTAAAAATAATAAAAATAGAAAAAAATAAGCCAAATGATTTTAAAACGAAATAGTAAGTGAAAGAAAGAAAGAAGACAGGTAAGCAAAGAGTCACTAAAGGATTTTTAAAAATGCAAACCAAAAAGCAATTAAAGAAACAAGATATTTCATATTGTTTAAAAGAAAATTTTGTTTAGAAAATATAGCAGCCTGAAGCTCCATGAATTTATCCATATTTTTAAATATACAAAACAAAACTGATAGAATAATATAGGAGAAGTTGACAAAACTACAGCCACAGTCATGATGGATTATCTTAATACATTCCTCCCGGAATCCTGTTCCAAGAAAGAAAAAATAAAACTAAAAAATCTAAATTATACAACTAATAAGCTGGATCTAAAACATTACAGTGAACTTTGTATTTAACTTACAGAGGACATACTATATTTAAACATCCATAAAACATCCATAAAACATTCTCAACAGCTGATCATATATTAGGCCACAAGGAAAAGTACAACAAATTCCAAAAACTTGTTATACAAGCAAAGTTTATTGACCACAATAAAATAAATGTAAAACAAACACTTTAAACAACAGTGGCAAAGCAAGGACACTGGATATCAAAGTCTAAATTCGGAGGAATATAACCAAAGTAGTGCTCAGAGAGGGAAAAAAAAATCCTGAAAGCATTTATTATAAATTGAGAACCAGTAAAAATATATTAATTACATTTTTCAAGGAAAAAAACCCAGGTAACCTTCCAAAAAGGAGAAGAGAATTATTAAAGATAGAAATTTAAAATATAGGAAGAAAGACCAGGAATATAGCTCAGCTGCACAGCATCTGCCTCACAGTACAAAGTTGTGAGTTCAACCGCTACTACCAAAAATAAAAGGAAAGGAAAAAAAAAAGTGAGATCTGGCCAGTACAACTCTAAACTGGATGAGAAATATAGTATTAGTAGTAAATTTGGTTTCTGATCTCCCAAAACCTCTATGAAAATAGAGAAAACCAAAGCTGGATAAAAGAAAGTGGCAGTATCTCAAGTGTGCAAGGCCAAACTGAACTGTTCCAAGACTGCATTGTCACTCTGTAGAAGGCAGCAGTGGAAAAAGCACCAGGATCTAAAATGTATGGATGCTAATTGTCAATCCCAGCAGACAACCTAAGGACAGCAGCTGGAGACCTACTCTCGGGTGTAAGCAAACCCATACTGCAAAGATCTGATAGCACTGGCCCACCTGGACATTACAATTTAAAAAGCTAACAAACTATAAAGCTCTTCCCACGCAGCACCTTCTATTGCAGAGAAATAGCTGGAGTAACATCCAAATTAAGCAGAACAAGGTCAATGGAAAGAAGAGAAAGTGACAGTGTATATAAAAGTCAGGAAGGAAAGCAATGAACACAAATCTCAGGAAAGATGAGACATTTTCGATCACTGTGTAGAAGATGAAAAGATTTAAAGCTATAAAGTATAAGGGTAGGGGGTAAAGAAAAAGCTACCCTTTCTTCCATAAGTAAATGAATGCTTGCGTTACATAAAAAATAAAGAAGTTCAAACAAAGGCCATGTAAATTTACCATTAGGAAGGAGAGCTACAGAGTATCTTCATACACAAAAAGCAGCAGAAAGAGAAGCCCTACAGATAAGACTAGAGCCTTATGTTTTAACACAAGCCGTGCTGCCATCCTTAACAGTAAAAATATGAATTAGAAAAAACATCACAAAGAGAGATTTTAGAAAATAAAATTGTGTAAAGAGGTGGCAAAATTAATAAAGGACTTTTAAAAAACATATAAAAAATGAAGAAGACAGCCGGGGATTTAGCTCAGCAGCATAAGCTCCTGCCTGGCAAGTGCTAGGTTGTGAGTTAAGTACCTGGTACAAAAAAGACAAAAGAAATAAAGAAGACTAGAAAAAAACTAAGAGCTAATGATGTAACAATACCTGACAAGAACCAGAAGATGGAATGGAAGAAAACTTTTAAATCTATAAAATATAAAGAAACAGATAACAAAGAATTGAAAGAAGTAAATAGATTTGATTTATGTTTTAAGAAAAGCTGAGAACTCAAAGATTAAAACTTGCACTACAATTGCAATTCAAGAAGAGTTTTATGAACTGCAAGATAGCTTGAAACTGTACATTAATGAACCATCATGTGTCTTTGAAGACTGACCCAGAACGGCTCAAATCAAGATTTCGTGGGTTATGGTTTGTGTCTAAATGTCCCCCCCCCCACCACCACCGCCACCGCCAAAGCCTCATGCAGACATGTGGGGAGGAGGCTTTTCAGAGGAGGCTGAAATGTGTGTGTAAAGGTGGGACTAAGGGTATGTGATCAGTGTCCATTGATTGGTTTGACATCATCCTAATCCCAGCAGCCTTGACAAAGGGCAGAAAGCTGCTGTAAAGGTTGCTTGTTGCTTTTGCTATCTTCTACAGCCATGAATAATTGCCACACTGTGTTGGAGCCAAAGGATTAAGGACTGAAACCTCTACAAGCTGTGACCTACAAAAACCCCTTCCTCCCTTAACTTTAAGCATCAGGCATTTTTGTCTCAGTAGTGAGAAAAGTAAGACATGATGTATTAAAGTAGTAGACCTTTGAAAAGAAAGGGGAAATGAGATATTTGGTCATCCAGGTAAAGAGGTAAAATCACTTATATGAAAACAAAAATCAAATTTTTGACACTATTTATCGGTGGAACAAAGAGAAAATCATTACAAAGAAAATAGTTTAATACCTAATGATTTTGACATTAATTTAATATGTCCTTTTTCTTAATTTCAATGTTACCACCTAGAAAATAATTTAAAATTTAAATTGAACACATCATTACGTAAAAATACATTTTCTAGCTTTTTCCATTGAAAATAATTTTTTTGTCTTTTTGAGACAGGGTCCCACTATGCAGTTCAGGCTGGCCTTGGACTCACTTTGTAGCCCAGGCTGGTCTCAAACTTGCAACGATTCTCCTGCTTCAGACTCCTGAGTGCTGGGATCACCACCATGCACCACCACACTTGGCTCTGAAAATACTTTTTAAAATTTATCACTTCCACACCAAAAAACATTCCTAACAGTGAAATGTGATTCTTACATTTGTTTTCCACTCAAAAGAACCAGAGTTCCTTGGAAAAATGGCTGATTTCAGGTTACAGCAGGAAGTATACTACATGAGTGATGCTTATCATACTAAAAGAAGAAAGTCATTGAAGGCCCAAAGTTTATCTCAAAAGAATTTGGAATCCAACCTGAATAAAGTTTCATAGATTAACAGGTTGGGCAATTAGAGCAACAATGATAATAATAGCCACAATCTGTTTAAACATGTCAGGTATCTTGGTTTATAAACATACAGTGATATATTTTAAAACATTGTTAACCTTCACAAACTCATAATTTTGAAAAATGACAAAGAGAAAGAATTAAATATTTATCCCGAATTCCCTGGAGGGTCTAATGTCAAGGTAATTGATTATCAAGCATTATCAGTACAAGTAACAACACATAAGGAAGCAATCGGCCCTGAAGGGAACACACAGCAACACTATGAAGTAGGCTTGCCAAAATTAAAAACAAAAATTAAAACTGAGTCTGACCCAACTCTCAAGTATCACTACAATTCACAGGATATGAAAAGGACATAGGGAAATATTCACTGTATCGCAATTAAGAAAAGCTAAAATGTGAAAAATTCCATAGGACAAATCACGCAGTTTGTAAATTGCATCCTGAAAAAGATGGCGAGAGGGCCTGAAGCTTGAAGATTTAAAATGAATGTCAAACACTGGCAATGATGGATGTATTTGGATCCTAATTTCATATGTGTGTGTGTACGTTTGTGTGTCTATGTGTGTGCGCATGTATACACAAATGTGGGATAATCTGAATATATGAACACCATTAATGTTTGATGTTAATTATTCCAATATAGAGATGTGATGGAACTGTTGCTGTATATTACCAAAGTGTAACTATCATGCAGAGATATGAACTGAAATATATGCATTAAGCATTTGTATTTGAAATGTTATGACGTCTGCAGAGGTATAAATGAAACAAGAGCCCACAATGATGATTATTGAATACAGATGACAGATATATTGATTCACTAAATGTTATTTCTACATTTGTATGTCTTTTTTTCCTAATAAAGCACTTACTTTAGAAAAACTAATATGCATAATCAAGACAAACATATTTTTTTCAAAAAGACAAAGTAAACATTAGGAATGAAGAGAAACTATATACATTTGTTAAAAACCATAAGTATACATGCATTAATTTATAAACTGTTTAAATTAGCTGATTTTTCAAAATTAGCTCAAAAATAAAATCTTGAGTAGAACATCTTTATTGAAGAAATTAAAACCATAAAGATACAATTCCTGGGAGAACTATTAGACATGCTTGGCTATACAGTGGAATTTATCACATTTTTAAGAAATAGAAATTTCTCATCTTGGTGCTTGGGATTTAGCTCATCGGCATAAGCGCCTGCCTTGTAAGCGTGTGGTTGTGAGTTCGATCCCTGGTACCGGTAAAAATACAAAAAAAAAAAGAAAGAAAAAAAAAGAAATTTCTCATCTTACAGAATCTCCTTAAATCAAGGCATAATAAAAGCAGCTTCTCAAATTAGTAACTTTCACATCACAAATCTAATAAAATATCAGGAAGACTCATGTTAAACAAAAAAGTGTTCAGTGTCCACAAGGATAGTAGTATTTAACAGTGTGCTTTAAGGTTCTACACATAATAATAATAATAATAGTAATAATAATAATAATAAAACTAAAAGAACAAATACAAGAAAGGAACAAATGCCTTTTTGTTTGTTTGTTTTTTTGAGACAGGGTCTCTATGCAGGTCAGGCTGGCCTTGAACTCACTTTGTAGCCCAGGCTAGTCTCGAACTTGCAGTGCTCCTCCTGCCTTAGCCTCCTGAGTCCTGGGATTACAGGCATGAGCCACCACGCCTGGCTAAGTGTCACAATTTGGAAATATGAAAATACAAGAAAATCAACTAGAAAACAACTAGAATAAAAAATTAAAGAAATTAGACAACTGAGCCTTTACATGACCAAATCAACATCTTCCTTTTACAAAAAATAGATTGGAGCTATGGAAGAGAAATAATTACCTTCAACACTTGAGAGTAATCAAATTGTTCCCCAGAGTATGTATTTCTTATCAATACAAATGGTTATTTCTTAAAGCAATAAAATGCTTAAAAATTAAAGAAATCCAAAGAAGAAAAAAACAAACTTACGTGGTGCTGATGACAAGGTCACATTTATGAAATGTGCTTCTATCTCCTAAAAAGTAAGATATATATTCAATGAATTTCCCTCCCCTCCATTCTCCTGTCACCATACAAGCATGTACCCCATGATGCCTAAACTGTCCCTACAGACATTCCATAACTAGCTTTTCTGTATTCTCCATATATAGTCACTTTCAAACTCTCCCAACAAGTAGTCCAGGGAGCAGACAGTCTCAAGAGACTGAAGGAATAATGTTCTCAGCTCTAGTTACAATGACAAAATATCCTAGAGTCTCATGTTTTATATTAAAATGGTTCGAATACTACATGGTAAGACTTACTGTGGCCTTTTATTTCAATGTAAAATTATTTACATTACCTAAACTACTTGCAAGATCCTCGCTTTCACAAATTGTAATATGAAAGTCCACCAGGAAACTGTGCTCATTAACCCTACAACTGAAAACACCAGCTAGAAAGTTGTTTGTGTGTTGTGTTCTCAGAGCTGAAGTTCTTTTTATCAACCAACATGTCTTTTCATTTTCCTACCTCTTCTTTCTAAATGTTTTTTAAATTGGCCTTAAATAAATGTTTGTTGGGTTTAATGCAGCGGAATTTCTTTCCTTGATTTTAGTGCTCCCAATAGCCTGATTATCCCAGCCTGTAAGAGAGTAAGAAAGTATATTTAGTCAGCATTTTACCATTGTTCTTTGTCCCAACCCCCTGTCCTCCCTTCCCGCCCAGCAACAGCCTCATCTGTCACTAATTAAATGAACAGACATGGCTGGGATCTGGATCGCCTCACTTCAAGTTTAGTGTACTTTATACGGCCAAATTGTCGCCAAAATCACTTGAAAAGGTAGGAAAAAAGAATAATATACTCAGAAAGAACAACAAACTTGATCACTTCTGGAGAACATGAGCAAAATGGAATTATTAGAAAAATATGAGCACACTGAATTGCCAGGAAGTTTGAAGATACAGCCTTGAAAACAAGCAGAGGAAAAAACATCAGAGCACTGGAGTGAGGTCCAAGGGTGTTTCCCGTGTGGGAGCCAGTGCTTTGTCAAGGCAAGGCCTGAATAAACGTTGGAGACAGCCACTTCCAGTCAGCCACGTACAAGCGTCTAGAAGGGCCCACACAACGGTGCCTTGGCTAGGAGCAGCCATGCATCGATTAAGGTTTCAAGCCTATAATATTCTATAGGGAAGAAGCAATTCATCACAGAAAAAAATGAAGCTCTCTTAACAAATGGGATGGAAGGTGAGGGACAACAACAAAACAATACCATCAGTTTCACAGAATGACTGTGACCAGGGAGTGAAGGAATGTATGTGAAAGTACTTTGTAAATTATAACAAGTTCTACAAAGGCGTTGTGATTGATATTTTCTTTTCAAGGTAGCGTTTAATGACTCCATTTAATACTTAGGTTCTATTCATTTTAATGTCTTCTTTCCCCCATAGAAACCAAAACAAATCCAACTATATGTATGTGGGTGACACAAAGGAAAGACAAGAGACCAAAGTTCAAAATAAGTATAAGTATTATAACCTAGAGAAGAGAATAAAGTATTACTAAATGAGAAATAGAGAGGGGACATACAGACAGAAGAATCAAGGACACACGGAAGACTTCAGAAAATAAAAAGAATAGTGACAGATACTTTCAAACCAAAATTAGTAAAAAGATATACAACATGGACAAAATTTCCATTAAAACGTAATATGAGGATAGAGCATTCAAAATTAATAAAAACATGAATATAAGAGGACTTTACAAGGTAGTTTAAATTTGAATGAAATGAGTTATAGGAAAAGATAGAAAAAAACAGAAGAATTTATCAGAGAAATAATTTAAGGAAGCTTTACAGCAGATAAATTCATTAATTTAAAGGACACACAACATGACCAAAAAAATGAATTTATAAAGACTATTATCTGGGTATATAATTATGAAATATCAAGGCATCAGTAATAAATAGAATGCTATAAGCTTTTAGAGAAAAGTTAAAGGGTACATACAAAGGATTGGGAATCAAATGGCAAAAGGAATTTTAAGAACATTGGAAGCTAAGCAACAATATAAAATAACTGCCAAATTATAAGGGAAAAAAACATTTTTCACACTAAAGCAAACCAGTTATCAAATATGAGCACAAATGAAAACATTTTTTCAACTATAAAAGACTTAAAAAGAAAAAAGAAAATTTATTTGAATTATAAGCCAAATTTTGTTCCCTAACAAAATCTATTAATACAAAACTTAATATATTGTCATGCATTAATCATCATGAACTGCAGGATAGTGCCTGCAAGAGCTATCCCCAGGGCGAAACGAGCTAAAATTTCTCCAATAGAAGGGAAAAGGTCGACTAATCTTTGCATATTAGCATCCTACTGTAGCTATAACAAATTATCATGCACATATCAGTTTTAGAATAACATCCACTTATTATCTCCAGCTTCCCAAGTTGAAGGTTCAGGCTAGCACTAAGACTTTCACTACCACAGGGTTCAGAGAGTCAAACTCAAGACGTTGGCTGACTTGGGCTCTCAGAAGAATCTGCTTCCACACTGATTCAAGAAGGAGGCAGAATCCAGATGCTTGGGACTGTGGGCTGAAGTTCCCATTTCCTGGCTGGCTGCTGGCTGGGAGCCACTCTTGTTCCTATCGGACACTACCCAGCCTTGCAGATGTCCCAATATTTCTCAGAGGCAAAAACACCATGTACTCAGAGAACTGTCAAACTAGAATCTCTGGTTTTCTCTTCTGTCATATCTCCCTGGCTGATGGTATCTCCTCCCTTCTGTTATTCTCAAAGCCTCCTTTGATTGCACAGTCCCACCTGGAAGAGGTAACTTATTCTAAGGTCAGCTAATTAGTAATCTTAATATATGCAAAATCCCTTCACAACAGCTCTATCCTTCACAACAGCACAATAAGGGCAAGTATTAGTGTTTGGTTGAATAATCAGGACACAAAACTTTTGGTAGGGCAGGAGATTTTTAGCATTCTACACACCAAGGTGTATCTTTAGGCAATGACCAGAAAGTCTAAAAAAAAAAAAAATCAGAAACCATTACTTTACTGCAAAATATCACAAGAAATTCAGAATGATTGCTTTGGAATCATGATTTTATTTGGCTCCAAATGATTCACAATTTTCAAAGCCTACCATGAGATCAATATCATACTTAAAGTCCCTAGTGAATCAGTAATTGATGTAACCAATGATGAAAAAGAAATATTTATTTACATTTCTCATATGTAAGATACTCTTTAAAAATTTCAAATAAATATTTTTGGTTATAGCTAACACCTGATTCTTCAATATTAATAAATTCCTCTATATTAGATTTTAGGAGATATAGTTTCCAAGGATTCAAATATATTCATAATCTTCATACAAAGTTTAATTATATTTTGCATTATACTTCTAAATAGCAAAATTAGCACATAATACAGAATCTAGATTCCTTATTTTTTTGCCAAATGCAGTATTTGATACAGTCTGCAAACTTAGAGGCTAATAAGCAAATATTTGTTGAAGACCCACAGGGCAAACAGTACCATATCTAATTATTTGGGAACATATTATATTATCTGTAAGGTTTTTTGGTGCAGTTGAGTGACACAGAGGTAAAAAAGTATTGTCAGCGCAGGAGGGCTGCTGGAGATTGAAGACCCTTCAAAGAGACAAAGCAGGGAGTCGCTTTTATGGCACTGGGAAGGGGTGGAAAATATCAGGTCCTGATCTAGATCACCGATCTTCTAAACCAATGCATGGAGGAGGTTAAAAACAAAGAGACGAATTGTATGAATTTTAGGGCTCCAGGAGGGTCGAAATCCTTTAGTTGAGCTCACAACTCCCTAGGGCTATGACAAAGCATTCTCTGGATTAGCCCACTTTTATTAGGACTAAGACAAAAGACAGAGAAACTGAGGAAAGCACAGGAAAGGAGCAGAAGCTCAGGGGTCACTTCAAAGACTTCCCCAAGCAGTAGGTTAAGCCAATGTAGGAGAACCATCTTATCTCCAAGATAACATTGATGGTAGGATTGAGACTGCAGGAGTGAGATGCCTGCAGCTGCAGTCTCTATATACTTAGTTAGTGTTGGAGCCAAGTGTCTTCAGCTGTGGCCTTATCTTGGCCTTTGAGATATCTCTGGCCTCACAGGCCACTACAGGCCTCAGCCAGGACCAGTGATTCATAGAGCTTCACTTATGAATCAGCTCCCATCGCCAGGCAGGGACCGAGTCCTAGGACAGACTCACAGATAAACACAGAAAGCCAATTAGTAAAATTTAAAGCCTGCTCAGAGCTTCTGGGTTGTGATCCCCAACAGGAAAATATGTGCGTGGACAGGTCATTGTGTTGGTAGAGGATTGGAAGAACTAAGGTGCATGAAGGGGAAGGGGAAGTTTATTTCGGGACTAGAAGAAGAACACGGAAGTTAGTGTAGGTGAGATAAATTGTTATTTGGGGGCTCGGTGCCATGTTGAGTCTGGCAGGTCCCATATGAGCGGAACCCATCGGTATCTCTCATATATTTGTATATATACTATAAATATATATGCATTTATATAGAGGGAGAGGCAGACCGAGACAGAGAGATGGAGCGAGAGACTATTCCCATCCTACTGTCCTAAAATATTTCAGAAAAAAGGCACATGTATAATCAACATAAATAATGTTTTCAAATAAATATATACCATGATATTAAATTGTGATAAGAAGGATATTACTATTATTGTAACTTTCAAAAGAAAATAGGAAGCTCCAAAGCGACTGTGGGATATATGAATTTGAGCACTGCTAATAGGAGACTGTTATTTTGTATACTGAAATATATTGAGAAGAGCAGGAGAGCTATGATAAGGACGAACACCACAGCTGATTTACAACTCTACGAGAGCTGGCCTGGAGAAAGAGCTAGTCTGATGAAAAGCTTTGAAGGCTATTATTAGTAGATTGTATTTGATTCAGTAGACAGTGAGACTCTGTGACACAGTTGGGGAAAACAGGCATGTAATCAAGGCAACTGGCTTGAAATAGAGATTTATCGCAGAGTGCAAAATAACTCCAAAAACCAGAG